TTCGGCTTTTCATTTCGCCATTTGTTGATTCACTTGAAGAGCAAGTAACGTAATATTGGTGAAGTGATCAGTTTGATATCAATCTTTCGTGATGCACCGTCATATTTACATTATTTGTACGGTACGAATGATTTGCTTTGGTACCTGGTCAAACTTAAGCTCTCCTTAGTATGGCTGGCTCCATCTCTCCAACAGCGCACTGACGGGCAGCAGCTGCCCCGCCCCCTCGCTCAGTCGCTTAGTGCCTGAGCTCGGATCATACCAATACCAGGGGGGGATTCACGCACAGTCGTAAATTCCCACAGTGTGCACTATGTGCTTCGAATATTGTGTGTACTTTTTGTTTTATACAGTTGTCAGCCAGGCATCTAACTATGAAAAAATTACACTCCAAAAGACCCCGGGCTTCTGACAAAACAACCCGGGCTTAAGCCCAGTAAGCCACCCCCACGCTCCGCCCCTGGATGAGACAGAGGGAGGGAAAGCAGAGCAAAGGAGCCGAGGCGACACGAGGAGTGATCAGGCCCTGCCAAACAGAGTTGAATTCGTTTGACTGTAAATGTCTAAACAAAACATCACATCGCTAAAGTCTGACAGACTTTAGTAGAACAAACACAACTGTCTGTCTGAATCACCCTTAACCTCTGACTGTGATCATATTTATTACAGCCTGTACAGGCTGTAATAAATGAGTGGTGTTGATGACGGTCAGCGATTGTTATTATGTAAACATTATTTGAGCACTGTGCTGATTAATATTCGCTTCTTACCGTCTTCACGTCCGGTTGTACCTGCAGACAGAAGAAAAAGGTGCATAGACGGAAGGACCGCGATTATCAGATTGATGAAGAGAAGTAACATCACTGGAAGGCTGCAAGCAAACTGGACTAAAGCGTTAGTTAGTGATGTGTCGACGCTTCGAAGTGTGTCGGGTAATCTCGGGGGAGTTTTTGTGAAGCGCGCGAATCAAGCACCCAATGCGCGAATCATGAACGAATCGTTCAATACTCGAGAATCACTTTACTGACTCATGAATCATGATTCACAAGCCCAACTGACTCACTGACTCATCCCTGTTGCTGTCTGGATCAAAACATAAACAGACCATCCATATTGAAAGGTAAAAGGAGCCGTCCCCAAAAACGAAGAATACCACCTGCTAATGTGGAGGAGTTGTCACTGCTATTGGATACTTTGCTGGAACACAGTAAAGCTGTGGGTTGTTATGACATAAAGAACGTATGGACATTTTAATTCTGTTTTTATTTCAGTCTCCAAATGAGGAGAAAAGCGATTATGAAAGAGAGTGACAATTTTACCGCATATTAAATATTGTACATCAAAGAATTTACTTAACATCGTCCACCATGCCAATGTCACACATACTGCAGATGTACATTCTTATTAGTCTTATTAACTGTGCATAATCTAAATATTTAGCCAGACTTGTCAAGAACATGGAGTCCTGTACATTTGAATCAATCTCCAAAATATTGGAAAAAAAGTTGGACAAAAATATGAAAAAGTACTGAAGAGCTATCATGTTCATGATCAGAGGATAATACAGCTGCTCTCATATTTCTTTTTTAGAGCCTCTATTTCTTCCTCATGCGTTTTCTCCAAGTCCTTAATTTGTTCTTTGAGAGATTTTTCTTTGTAACTGGAGAGTTCATCCAACTGTTTGTAATCTTTACTGTGTCTCACGTCTGTCTGCTGCATTTCTCTCTCATGTTGTTGTTTCAGTTCTTTTATTTCCTCCATGTGTTTTTCTACCAGAGCTGTAAAGTCTTTGGTGTATTTCTGTCTGAACTCGTTGAACTCTTCAGCCTGTTTTCTGGCTTCTTCTTCATATTTCGTCTTCATTTCTTGCAGTTTTTTCTTATAGTTTTCCTCCAGTTCTTTCCGTTCTCTCTCCTCTTGATCTCTTCTCATTCGATCCTCTTCTTTTCTCTTGTTTACATATTTTTCTCTTTCCTGGTCGTATTCTTCTTGCAGTTTTCTAAGTTTTGCTTGTTTCTCTTCATTTTCTTGATGTCGTTTGTCCCACCACTCACTCCTTTCCTTTTCCCACTTCTCTCGTTGGTTTCTCATCTCCTCTCTGCTTTGTTCCAGCTGTCGGTCAGTTATTTCCTTTTCCTTTGATTCTGCCTTTAGTTTTTTCTCCAGATCTATACGCTTTTGTTCCAACTCTTGTTGTTGAAGTTCATCTTGTATTTTCCTTTGGCGGTCCTCTGCTTCTCGCCTTTTCTGTTCACTTTTTCTCTGTTCACGTTCATTCTTTATGTTATCCTTCATTTTTTTAAGTTGTTTTTCTATCCGTTTTCTCTGCCATTCAGTTTCCGCTCTCTGTTCTTCCATTCTTTCTTCCATTGCTTTTATTTGTTCCTCATGTTTTTGTTCAAGCTCTTCTTTCTGTCTCTTCATCTCCTCTTCCTTCTCTTTTAGGATCCTCTCCACTTCCTTCTTTATTGCCACCTCAGCCTCTTGGAACATCTCGCTGGTGTAGCAGCTGCCTCCATTTTCGTGCACCATTACCTCAATCTTTGTCAGCAGCTCACTGACCTGAGCACGATTCTTTGCATCATTATTATTAAAGACATGATATCTGTCTCCACAATCATGAATCAGTTTTTGTACAAATTCATCACAATCATCTTCTATGTAACTCTCAAATGTTTGACCTTTCAGTTCATCTTTCCTGGTAAATGTAACGATGATGAAATGTTGTGAATTTTTCCCAAAGTATTTCTTTATCAGTTCAACAGTTTCTTTTTCTTCGTTTGTAAACCGGCCGATTGATAGCACCAGTAAGATCACATGAGGTCCAGGAGCCAACATGGTGATGCATTTAACGAGCTCTTGTTCAACTTCATTACTGGACAGACTCGTGTCAAACAGACCGGGGGTGTCGACCACAACAACAGGACGTCCATCAACCTCTCCTTCTGCTTTCTCACAGAACTTTGTCACAGACCTCCCGCTGGGCTTAGATTTAAAATGTTTTTTCCCCAGAATGGTGTTTCCAGTTGCGCTCTTCCCACTGCCAGTCTTTCCAATCAGAACCATCCTGAGACATTCCCTGTTCTGATTTCTATCATCAACACACATGGCCCTTTCTTTTCTTAAATCCATTTCAGCTTTAAGTCTTGTGTTAATGTTTTTCTCTTCTACCACTCTCTCCATCTGAGCTAATATGAACATGTCTTTTGTGAAGGATTTGGGTCCGTTATCTCTCACCTTTTCCACAGCTTGGACCAGCTGTGGGATCTGCTGTTTGTCATTAATGTTGAGAACAACAGATCTTCCTCCACAGCTCTCACAGAGCTCTTGGATGTCCTTCTTGTCTTTTAGAAAGTTAACTACAGCTGGATGTGTAGGATCTGAGTCCACAGTGAACAGAATCATGGAGAAGTCATTGACTCGAGAGCTGAATGTGTTCTGGATGGTCTCTAACTCTCCCTTGTCTTCATCAGTGAGGGGAGCCACAGTTAGGACCAGGATGAAGGCATGGACACCCTCAGGATCACAGAGGGAAATACACCTGAGTGATTCCTCCATCACTGCCTCCTGAGGTTTTTCATACAAGGCAGGCAGCTCCACCAGGGAAACCCAACGTCCACACACCTCTCCCTGATGTTTAACACACTCTGATGAGTTGGAGTCTGAATGAAGCTCAGTCTGACCTAAAATGGCCTTGGCTGCTGAAGTCTTCCCTGCTCCTCTCCTCCCACACAGAACCAGGTTTAGCACTGGCTTGATGAGTTCAGACGTCAGTTGTGTGGTCTCTTCAGTGAACGTGAGGAATTTTCCTTTATTTTCATTCACAATGTCCTCAATCTTCGCCATTAAGTGTTTGTGGTCTTCCTCAAACATGTTATAGAATTTTCCTCCACAGTCCCAGAGGAGTTCATTCACACAGGAACTCATTGGGTTGTCATGTGTGTTGATGACCATCGAGTGTTTAAAGGCATTTTGATCAAACAAACTCAGGATGACCTTCAGAGTTCTTCTGTTCTCTTCAGTGAAATTAGAAGGTTTCACTAACAGCAGCAAAACGTTTGGTCCAGGAAGGGAAAGACTCACACAGCTTCTCATCTCTTCAATAATTGCTTTCACAGTCATACTAAACATGTCTGGGGTTTTCACCACTGTTACTGGTTTTCTTTTCCATTCTCCACGAGCCACCTCACATTGCTTGTTCGGGTTGAATTTAGAGAACTGAAAGTGTTTTTTCTGCATGATGAATTGGCAGAGCGTGTTCTTTTTGTCCTCACTTTTTCCAAATATCACAATTCTGAGTCCAGGTGCTGTAAATTAACAAAAATACTAAGATTAAGATACCAGCAAGCATATATATATATATATATATATAAATAATGTGATTTACTTACACTGTTGGGAATATTCACTGGGAGCTTTGAGTTCTGTAAAAGACAACACAGCCTTATTTCAACAGTACAGGAAGTATGATTCCAAAGTGATTTATAGTCATTTTACAATTTCCTGTTTCTCTGCAACTGACGAAGGTTGCATGGACCAAAACTGTGTAATACAAATAATGATAAGCAGGGCATTTTGGTGAGGTTATAATATACGTCTTTCACTAAGATTTTTTCTCTCCTATGCACCTGTCATCAAATCAAGTGTGCAGAGTTTCCTAAATTTGTTGTTTGAAAAAATGCAAGTACAGAAAATACCAGGAAGCCAGGAAACATAGAAGAGAATAAATCAGCAGAGATAAGACAAAAGGAGTTAACAAAAGCACAGAGGACAAAACACCACCAAGGTAAGACAGAATGTAAGTAAACAGATGGCAGAATCACTTACATATGAACTTAACACAGAAACAAAAACACAGTCTTGATATATTGAAGTAAATAAACATAGAGACAAGACTAGGGTAGACATGGGAAGATAAGGGAGCCAAAAATACAAGGAAATATAATATAAACTGAAACCAGGAAAACCAAACCTGGGAAACATAAATAAACAGAAACCGCAGGAAATACTGACAAGAGACAAAACTTAAAATACTGGGTCCTAGACCCAGGGATCATGACATAAACAATAACTTACCAATTCCCTTTGTTGGACCAAATGGAAAGGTTGATGTTTTTTCTTGTTTGAGGTTTTCCTGCTCAGAAGCCAGACCTGTTGCTGCATCCTCAAATACATCCCAGACCAGGTGTCCATTGTTCTCTTTTGCAATTTGAACCAAGCGTGTTAGCAGCTCTGCACGTTCGAGGTTCTTCAGCTTCAAATGTCTGTATTTGCATTTTCTGATAAAGTCCTTTAAGGGTTGATCTTCTTTCATGAAAGCTGAGCTCTTCTCTCTGGGAGTTGATTTCAGAACCAATGAATGATCAAATGATTGATCACTGAATTCTTCAAGGACTTTGCAGAGCCTCCGATTTTGCTCCTCAGTGAAGTCTTCAGGCTGTAGAACCAACAGGAACACGTGAGGTCCAGGAGCAGAGAGCCTCACACAGGTTTCTACGTGCTCCTTCAGTTTGGCATCAGAAATATTGGGAAGCAACAGGTCTGGGGTGTTAATGACAACTATTTGTTTTTCCTTGAAGGGTGTCCTGAATTCCACACAGCAGTCTGGTGCTTTTTCAGTACAGAACTTCTCCTGTCTCAGTATCATGTTCCCCACTGCTCTCATCTCTGACCATTTGTTCCCCAGCAGAACCACCCTCAGCTCGGACACTGGGAAGAAAAGTAAATCACTTATTTCCAGACAATTAACTGAAGAGAAGCAGAACAGGAAATTAATTAATTTATCTAATTAAGTCACAAAGTTTTGTACATATACAAATAGCATGAATAAACAAAGAGAAGACAAGAGTTGTAAACTCAGAAAGACAAGAAGCCTGCTTAACATGCAAGGGCAGATCATTCCACAACAGGGATATTTTTCTTCCACACACATCTACAAAAATACACATCAAATAACAGATACATTATCACACACAGTCATTTAGGTAGAAGCACATATACGGACACAGAAGAACAGATACAGAGACCTGCACCCCGACTCGCATGCACATGTAACACACACCAAGCTACATGCCTACATGCACCCCCAAAACTAGACACTCTACAGACACACGAGTTACACATATGCCTACATTCACGTATAAATTTCAATTTAGAAACAGTGTCCACATGTGGATTTGGTATCAGTGTTTAGGGAGAGGTTAATGCACAATGTTAGTACAGTTTCAGAGAGTATGACGTGTGACCTGTGACCACTGGGG